GGCGGTCACCGAACCCGTACAAATGGCGACCCTTGGGGGCGGTCACCGAACCCGTACACTTTGGCAACCCTTGGGGACGGTCACCGGTACCCGTCAAATTGCTCGGGGCGATCTCCACAACCTAATTAGAGACCCCGACGCTTGCCCGGAGCTTTACACCACAATGATTGAGCCTCGAACACCACCAACCGTCTAGGGTGCCCAAGCACCCAAGAGGAACAAGCTCAAGGGTACCAAGCACCCAAGAGTAATAAGCTTCTCAAACTTCACTTCCACGTATCACCATGGAGAACTCAAACCGATGCACCAAATGCAATGGCAAGGGCACACGGAGTGTCCAAGTCCTTCTCTCCCAAATCCCACCGAAGCAACTAATGCTAGGGAGGAAAATGAGAGGAAGAATGAAAGAAGAACACGAAGAACTCCAAGATCTAGATCCAAGGGGTTCCCCTCACTTAGAGGAGAAAGTGATTGGTGGAAACGTGGATCTAGATCTCCTCTCTCTTTTCCCTCAAGAACTAGCAAGAATCATTGGAGGGATTGAGAGTTAGCAAGCTCGAAGAAGGTCAACAATGGGGGAAGAACACGAGCTCAAAGGATAAGGTTCAATGGGGAAGAAGACACCTATATATAGTGGGGAAACCAATCCAACCGTTACCGCACTGAACACCCACACACAGAGCGGTACTACCGCTTGGGCAGGGCGGTACTACCGCTTGAAGTGGTACTACCGCTCCCACCCAGCGGTACTGCCGTGCTGACGAGGAGGTCAGGTTCCTGGCCCCAGAGCGGTACTACCACGGGAGTAGGAGCGGTACTACCGCTTGGAGCGGTACTACCGCCACTACTTCCGCACTTAGTACCGTAAAACCCGACACAAAAAACATTAGTCTCGAGTCGAGGCGGTAGTAGCCCGGAACCACTGCGGTACTACGGCCGAAGCCCACAAGCGGTACTACCGCTTGGGGAGCGGTACTACCGCTTGAGTGCTTCGGCGGTACTACCGCTGAGGACCGCAGTACTACCGCTGGGGCAGGTCAGGGCAGGCACAAGGGAAGGAAAGGCTGCACCAGAGCGGAGAGAAAAATAGAAATGCCATAACTTCTTCATATGAGCACCGAATTGAGCAAACTCAAGCTTGTTGGATACAAGACAACGAGTAGCATCAAAACGGCGACAACAGAGAAGAACCGGCATACCCTCCAACATCGAAAACATCATAGAAGATGCAAGTGAACTCCGTTTTCGATGAACTCGAGCTTGTCATAAAAAGACCAAGAGCTCCAAATCTCACAAGGAAAAGAACCAAACAAGAACCAATAAAGATGATGCAAGGATGCAATGGTTTGAGCTCTCTACGAACGATACGATCAAGCAACTCATCGAGAGCCCCCCTTGATAGTACGGCAATCGATCCTATAACCCGGTCTCCCACAACTACCATGAGACCGGTAAAATAGAAAACCTATCAAGGGCAAACCTTTGCCTTGCACATGGTCCACTTGAGCTAGATGATGACGATCTTGACTCCCTCAAGTTGGACCACTTTTCTTGATTGCGTTGGCTCGATGAAGACTAGTTGATTGCTCCCCCATACTCCACTATGGGTGAGCCTCTCTTCCGCACATCTTCACAAGTCCATTGTCACCATAATGGACGACAAGCTTCAAGCATTTGATCTCTTCGTGATGCTTCACTTGAACTTGCACACCACAACCTAACCCCACAAAGAACTCTCACGAAGATCATGGGTTAGTACACAAAGCGTAATTGACAATGCTTACCATACCATGGGATCGCTTGATCCCTCTCGGTACATCTTCTATGCTTTGTGTGTTGATCAACTTGATTCACTCTTTGACTTAGTCTTGATCAACCTTGAATCTTTCCAACTCTCTTCATCTCGATGATGTCTTGAAGGTAAACATGAATGATCACACACTCTTCTTCTTCAAGACATGTTTGCTATAAGCACAACACTCATATGACCAATCTTTGGATAATTCCTTAATAGCACCTTGGTCATCACAAACTCTCCTTGAAACCAACAAATGGACTCCAAGAAAAGCCTATGGACAAACCCTTCAAATATAACTCAAGGCGACCATTAGTCCATAGAGATTGTCATCAATTACCAAAACCAAACATGGGGGCACCGCATGTTCTTTTACCGGGCTTTGCCCGTCAGCTCATCGTGGCGGCGGCGAGGAAAGGAGGAGGGGAAGGAGGGCCCTGGGCCGGCAGCTAAGGTTTCCCCCCCCCCCCCGGCGCTCGTGGGAGCGACGCGGGAGGGGGAAGGGGATCCCTTTGGGGGTTTTTCACAGGCTTCCGTCGTTACGAATTAATTCAAAGCTGGGCCTGAGATCGATATCAGTTTATTAGTCCCTTCTTTTGTGCATCAGCTTAAGAGCGTATCAAGGTTGTCGCTGCCGATCCATGATCTATTTCTTATTTCAGCACCACTGATGCTACTATAGTTCCTATGCCCGTTGCAACTGGCAATTCGTTCAGCAGAGAAAGGATGAGAACCGGTCAGGAGTCAACACACATCACCACAGCTAACCCAAACGGGTGGAACAAGGACGAATTTTCCGAAAGGATACATGACATTACTTGTCAGCTGCAAGATGGACGAGAGGCTATCACAAGGCTTCTCAACATACTTGGGTCCGGTGGTGCAATTTCAAATGCCTGTCAGAGTACAATCTCAGATCCATGCAGAAGAACAGCAAGTCTTGTTCAAGGGAAAGTGTATGGGAGAGACGAAGAGAAGAGATCCATCAAATCACTGATAAAAGAACACAAAGCAACTGTCGGTTTAACTGTTCTGCCTATTGTAGGCATCGGAGGAGTTGGGAAGATAGCTCTTGCTTAGCTTCTATACAATGATCCAGCTGTGGAAAGCCAATTTGATCACAAGATATGGATTTGGGTGTCTAATAAATTTGATGAAATGAGACTCACAAGAGAGATGTTAGATCACATCTCCCAAGAAACACATGATGGCATATGCAGCTTTTCCAAGCTTCAGGAGGTCTTGAAGGATCATATTAAATCAAAGAGGGTTCTACTTATTTTAGATGATCTCTGGGAAGGCATGGATGATGGCCGATGGAACAAATTGTTAGCTCCGTTTAGTTCTGATGGTGCAACTGGCAATATGATAGTTCTGACAACAAGAAAACCGTTTGTTGCCAAAAAGAGAGGTACAACTGGACCAATTAACTTGGATGGTTTGAAAAATGGTGATTTTTGGCCAATGTTCAAAACATGTGCATTTGGTGATGAGAATTACAAAGAGAAAGAAAGTCTAAGTGATTTAGGACAGAAAATAGCACGATGGTTGAAAGGAAACCCATTAGCAACACAAACTGTTGGGGCACTACTAAAAGATCATCTTACTGTGGATCATTGGAGTAACATTCTGAACACTGAAGATTAGAAATCCCTACAACACACTGGTGGTATTATGTCTGCCTTAAAGCTTTCCTATGATGAGTTGCCCTACCCTGTAGGGCAATGCTTCTCATATTGTTCTATATTGCCCTACAACTATCCATTTCTTGCTGAGGAGCTAGTTCATGTTTGGATTTCACAGGGATTTGTGAATCATGATCATTCAAATAAGAGTTTGGAGGATATGGGACAGTACTATCTTACTGACTTGGTGAACCGGGGCTTGTTTGAGCAGGTTGAACTTCAATGTCAAACTTACTATGCCATTTGCGGCCTGATGCATGATTTTGCAAGGCTAGTTTCAAGAACAGAGTGTGCAGCTGTGGATGGTTTGCAATGCAATGAAATTTTGCCAACTGTACACCATTTGTCCATAATAACCGAATTTATATATCAGAGGGATGATCAGACTGGGAATATACCTCGTATTGAGTGGTTTGAACTTTCATTGCAAAGTATAGTCGCATCAGTGAGAAAACTGAGAACATTAGTGTTAATTGGGGAATATGACTCCTTTTTCTTCAAAGCATTCCAAGATGTCTTTGAAGAAGCACATAATCTGCGTCTGCTGCAAATGTTTGCAACATCTCCTGATTTTAATTCTTTTCTGTGTAGCTTGGCAAATCCTACACATCTTCGGTATCTAAAAATTCAGGATGGTCATACTGAGCAGAAGGCTTTGCCTCGTGTTTTGAGCAAGTTCTTCCATCTTCAAGTATTGGATGTTGTTTTCTTTAATTCATTGCATACGGTTCATCTAGAGGATTGCAGAGAATGGATAATACTTCCATCTCTAGAAATGCTTCGGTTTCTTAAAAGGTTGAAGTTGAGCAACATGCGGAGAGTAAGAGTAGTATTAGTTCCGCCATTGGAGGAACTGGTTTTAGATCGAATGCCAGATTTACAGATATGTTCCTGTACTTCTATGGGGAATATAAAGTCTAGTTTAAGGTTGCTGGAGATCTGGAGTTGCTCTGCACTTGAGGTGTTTGATTTCTTTCAGAAAGGTTATAACTACGAAACAGAGCATAAGTCACCGATGCCCAGCCTGAGGAAACTCATTATGGTCGGTTGTCCTCGTTTGCAAGTATAGACCCCTCTTCCGCCTTCAGCCACACTTTCTAAACTAATAATCACTAGTGTTTCAACAATTATGTCAATGGAGGGACTTTCCATGGAAACATTAAAGCTTTATGGATATGGACTTCCAAGTGAGATGATGGCAGTCGATGAGACAATACTTGGAGATATTGTCGGGCAAAAGCATGACATCTATTTCATTCAAAGGTTTAAGTCAACTCATCTCTTTAAAGAGTTTGAAAATAGAGTACTGCAGAGAACTTTTATCTTCAGATGTTGTGCCTGCAAATGAGGATGCTCTCCCATCTCTTGAAAGTCTTTATATTAGAGATTGTGGAATAACAGGGAAGTGGCTATCTCTGATGCTGCGGCATTCACCGGCCCTGAAGGAATTGACTTTATATGAATGTCCGCAGTTGAAATAGCTAAAGATAGAAGAGGAAGGAAAGGTCCAATCAAACTTTATGTCAGCTTCCGAGGCTTCGTCATCAGGATATGTAAATGATGCATGGCCAAGCTCAGATGCTGACGGAGTCGTGCACATTCCGCTGAATCTCACAAAGATAACCATTGGTAAATGCCCTCATCTAATATTTGAGGGGAGTAGGGAAGATTTGGTTGGATTTACCTCCCTTGATGAAGATGCCCAAGAGAAGGGAAGATGTCTCCTCCCACAATCACTCGATCAACTTGTTTGGACTGGTTGTCCCCAAAAGACAATGCGGCCCTGCTTTGTGGGAAATCCCACGTGCCTTAGAAAATTGGAATTAAATGAAGGAAGTTTGGAATATTTACAGGTGGATTCCTGTACGGCGTTAGAAGAATTGGAAGTTGAAAATTGTCATCCGCTCGTCGCTATAGAGGGCACACAGGTGCTTGGAACACTCAGGTCTTTGGTATTACTTGTGAACTCAAGCATGGAATCTCTACAGCTACATTCGTGCACGGCGCTGGAACATTTGGAAATTCAGTACTGCAGTTCACTCATCTCACTAGAGGGCTTGCGATCCCTCGTGAACCTCAAGCATTTGAAAATACTCTATTCCCCTGCCTTGGTTTCCCTTACCACATTGGAGAGTTATGAGCCAATTGAGGGAATTTCAAGTCATAGCTATGAGTTATTCCCTGCACTGGAAAGTCTCGAGGTCCATGATTTGTCTCCCCTTAACACGTCATTCTGCAAGGGCCTCACCTGCCTCCGAAGCCTAATGCTTATTGAATTGGAATCAACGAGGCTAACAGATGAGCAAGAGAGAGCACTTCTGCTCCTCAGGTCCCTGCAAGAGCTCTGCTTTGTTGAATGTGAGGATCTCGTACATCTTCCTGCAGGCCTGCATGGCCTCCATTCCCTCAATACGTTGAAGATCACATGTTGTAATAGCATCTCAGGGCTTCCGAAGGAGGGCCTTCCACCTTCACTGGAAAAACTGGAGATCTACGACTGCAGCGACGAGTTATCAGAAGGATGCAGATCACTTGCAACAAGCAAGCTAGAGGTCGAAATTGATGGGTGCTATGTGAACTGATCGCTGAGTAACTTTCTAAGGTATACTTCTACCATACATGCCCAGTTTGTTTTGGGACTAAATACCTATATGCTACTGGAGGGATTGCCCAGGCCATCCCTGTCCTGGATCACCTATTACATTAGTTATTATATTTGGTTGGGAGGGAAAATGCTTAACGTATTTTTCTTGTGATGTGAACAGGTTCGGTTTCACTTCAGAACCTCGTCCTCACGCGGTCATGATAATGGCGTCTCATACTCGCAATCTCAATATTTTGTTCTCCACTCGTTGGGTCCGAAAAGGGGATTCATGCTGCTGGAAAAGCCTAGTATTTTCGCTGTCATATAAAATAAAATGAAAGCTCCAAAAAAGTAAACCTGCTTTTCGCTGTTCATTATCCGTCTCATGTTTTGAATTAAAAAAAAGGTGATTGTTTCTCAGGTTTCTTAGCCGCACGCAGAAGATAGATGAACGCTGGGAGGTCAGTTGATAATCAGAACCTCATACCCATGTGGTCATCTTGATTTTGATGTCTCAATAATCAGTACCTCTCTGCTCCAGTTGCTGGGATTTCAGAAAACAAACTGGGGATTTATGCTTCCATGTCGGAAATGCCTACCTACTATTTTGCTGCCATATCAGAAATCTGAAAGTTGGACAGGTAACCTGCTTTTTTCCCTCTCTATCTATTATTCACCACATGTTCTGAACTAAAAACAAGATGATTATTTTTCAGCTCCTTGACTGCATTCAGAAGAAATATCCGGAGACGTTGGGACAGGAATTCGGTAATCGGACCAGGCAAATTTGCTAGGATTGATCGAACTTGTATCTCCCTCCGTCAGAAATTTGGGATAGCCTTGCCAGAGGACGTGCATTCTGACCCTGTCTCCTCCGACAGGACAAGTTCCTGCTCATCTCCGTTCTATGTTCAGGCTTCAGGCAAGGCAATTAACCCGCCTGCATGCTCACCGGTAATAAAAAATAGCCCCATTTTGAAGGTGCAATGAGTGAGTTATGTCGACACACTGCTTGCTTGACCATTTTCCGAACCTTCTATGCATCAAAGGAGGATGCAGGGGCATGTGTCAGTGAGGAGTCTCAACTTGTTAGCCTAATGTCGGTGCATTTGTTTGCGTTCTGCTATTGACGGTGGTTTGTCGTCCCGAGTTTATTTTCGGCGGCAAATGCGCATTTCTTGACAACCTTATTTTTTTCTGCGAAATGCTGTTCATGAACCTCATCAACTTGTTAGATGTTGGTGTGCTACCATTTCAGAAGAATGCTTCCTTGTAACTTTTACACGTTGCTGGATTACCGTTTCTATGTTTGGAAGAATGCTTTCGTTATGTTAAAGTGATAATGTCTTCAGCCCTGAGTTGCACATGTAGTTGATAGTTTAGCTGACAAGGCAGCTCTTGTATCATGAATTCATGATGCCTTTGATTTGATACATTTAAAGATGCTATCAATTTAACACTACAGAGTTCAGTATGTTAATACTATTGAAACAGCGTAACTGAATGCATGTTCGCTGCTTATACACGCATACGTCAGAACTAACCTGTCAAAGAAACACAACACAGAGCTGCAAGTTGGTCGGCCCAGTTTGCAGAGAGACAAATGTACGATTTCATCTCTTTCGGCAGAACTCTGAGGAGCTTTTGAAAATCAAAATCATACAGACAATAAAAGAAAAACGAATGTCTATGAAATCAATAGATGAAAGGATCATTTCCCTGATTTGAATACCACCCTCCTTAAAATAGGATATCTCTCGTCGATGCGTCCTCCTTCACTCACACACGACTCGTTAGTCCAAAAAAATCATGTGCTGAAGCTCAGCAGATCTTACTCTTCCCCAGCACTCATGCATCTCTTATTCAGGAACAACACAATAGTTTACCGAGACAGCTTCACTCACAGGTGTAAGACTCACACTGCCAGCCAGCTTTGCAGTTCGTTACTCATGCCACTAGCAAGCTCACTTTTACTCTTGCAAAAAAAAAAAGCAAGCTCACTTTTACTCTTGCAGTACAGCTTCACAGGGAAATGACATAAACATTTTGGCTTGCAGGCAGCCATCGACAGGCAGCACTACTGGATTTCAAGCTATTCCCAAGCATAGGCAGTAGACACTTCAGAGCCTTTCCGAAGATGGATGACAGGAGGTGTTTCCAAGAGCAGAGCCAAATGTTAGTCCTCTTTTCTTTATCCCCCAAATGTTTCCTAGAGTTGGTATTGGATAGATTGTTGTCTTTCTTTATTTGCTCTTCCTTTTTGTTTTTCCTCCTATTGGATAGTACATATTTATTTTATAATAGAAAAATACCATGGAAAAGTTATTCTACGGTTCTTGGGTCAAAAAAAAAAACTACGATGGCAAGATTTTTAAAGATTGAGTCAAAATCTTCCATAACGTCACAACTAGAAGAACTCCCCATCCTTCTCATGCTTCCTCTTGCTGCAAATCCAAGTAAAGAAAAAACAAACATCATAGGGTTCTATCTATTGACAGGCAAAGAAGAACCTGAAAAAGCCACAAAAGAAAAATGAAATCCTCTTTCTTCTCAAAAACCTTCAGGGCCGAAACTAGTGCTCATCACAGAGATATGCTTACAGCAGAACAGTGGAGAGAGCAGAGTGGCCTCTCCCCTATACAAGACTGCGAGTACATGCTCTGGCTGATAGACATGACAAGCTACCACATAGCCTATAAACTGATGCACAGACTCTTCGCTGACACATGCCCCTGGATCCATAATCCTGTCGCTGCATAATCGGTTCAGAAAGACTCGAGCAAGCAGTAGGTCAGCTTAATTAGCTCAACCAAATCATCGCATCACCTTCATAATGGGTCTATTGTGACTACAGTCCCATATCCAGTCTCCATATTCAGAAAGAAATGATTTGTCTCGCACTCGTAACTATTAAACACACCATTATTACACAGAAATCTATATAAGTTGCATCCTAGTTGACTGGCACTCCGAAGACACTTGATTAGAGAGAATTCACCGAGGTGGATGGATGAAGCAGCATAAGTTGCAATTTCAAATTTCTGCAGTGAACCTTCATGATGCCTGATCTAGCTTCTGCAGCTTCGCCTTGGCGATATCAAGTTGCTCTGAGTAAGAATCAGAGAGGGAGGAACCATGTTACCATCACCAGGAAGCACACAGAAAAAGAAGAAAACAATTAACACCACCAATTCCAACCACAACAACAAGAAGAAAAGCAAGCAATGAGCATCGACCGTACTCTGCTGGGACGCGACGGCGGATTTGATGTCCTTGTGGAAGAAGATGTTGCAGGTCTTCTGGTACGCGGCTTGCGCGTTTTTGCAACAAGTCAGACAAGTGGTAAGTTGTCAGTTGTTACTACCTACCACTATTATATACCCATCACACTAAAAAAGCCCAATTGACCACTATCATACCAAATTCATTCATGCATTAATTCATCCTCATGTTCACCCGGGTCAGGGAGTTGGAGATGAAGGAGGGATGCTTACCCTGGATGGAGGCAGGTTGTTGAGCTCCCCAATCGCCACTTGGTGCGCTCTTACCTGAACCAAATAGCACATGCAGATTATATCTATCTTTTACCATCGGCGAATGAAACAAATCCAAACTCCAAAGGACTGCAAGGCGCACAAGGTGTAGAGAAACATCCATCAGGGGACGACAGATAGCCCTAGTACCTCCTTCATAAGCTCCATCTTCTTCATGTCCGCCTCCTTCGCCGCCGCCGCAGCCATGTCTCTCGCCGTGCCGAAGCTGGAGGCCCGCTTCAGGCTTTAGGGAACCTCAGTCAGCCGACCGCGGTGTAGCTACGGAACGAGAAGAACCCTTAAATTAGCGCTGAAACCACGCCGCCGCAAAAACCGAATCTAGTGGGATTCCAAAGCCACCCCGGCGAACCCACGGCCGATCCAGAAGCGAGCGCTCGGATGCGGCTACTAGAAGGAAGAGGGGCGGGAGAGGGGGACCTGACGAAGTGGCGTCGCGGTGGAGACGGGAGGGCGGAGGACGACGGCGGCGGCGACCGGGGAAAGAAGGGATGGGACCAAGAGACCGGGAGAGCGAAGGACGACGATGCGTGTCGGCGGCGCTCATCAGGTAGGCCTGAGTATACCTGGCCATGGGAAGCCCGGCCCGACGCTGCCCCCGGGCCGGGCTCAGGCCTAGATTTTGAGCCTGAAGGCTGGGACGGGCCCGGGCCCATCGTGTTCACGTTTTTCTGAGGGTCGGGCCGGGTCGGCCCAGAGCCCGATGGGCTTTTACGTGTTTGGGTCGGGCTTGGGTCCATAAAACAAGCCCGATGGCCGGGCTGGGACGGACCCGGGCCTGGGTTTTTTGCGTCGGGCTTGGCTAGGCCCGGCCCAGCCCGAGGTATGGCCAGGTATAGCCCTGACTAACGACCCATGTATGCAAACCTGACCAGATGGGCTGGCCTGGCCTAAACAGGCCAGGCAAGGCACAACCACGCTCGGCACATCAAGGAAACGGGCTGGCCCATCGCATGTTTAGCCCCTGATTTTGCGCTGTTTTAGGGGTTAATATACATTTAAAAATTAACAAAAGTAAATAGGTCGTGTCATTCCCAACCTCCCGACCCAGGCACGGCCCTAGGTAGGGCCGTGTTCTGGGACGAGTCAATTATAAAATTTGTCGGGTTAGGCCCACCACAGCCCGGGCACGTGGGCTATCGGGCAAGCTCACAAGGATCGGCCAATTTGGCCACCTTTGTATATAGCCTGGCCTAAATTCCTACAACCAAGCTTAGGGGAAATAGACTTTTGCATCATTGCATGAGTCTTCTGATGAGATGATGGCAAAATTTTAGCATTCCATAATCTAAAGTATATCAAATGCTTGGAGATATCATTGTGCACAAACCTAACATCTATTTCATTCAAAAGGTTTAATTCTGCTCATTTCTTTAAAGAATTTGAAAATAGAGTGCTGCATATAACTTTTTTCCCTTCAGATGTTGTGCCAGAGCACACCCATGAAGGCATGATAACTACAATTGATGCGGCTCTTCCATTTCTTGAAAGTCTCTGTATTAAATTATGTTCAATAACAGGGAAGTGGCTATCTCTGATACTGCGACATTCGCCAACCCTGAAGGAACTAGATTTATGTTGCTGCCCACAGCTGAAAGAAAAGATACAGTCAAAACTTCTCCCAGCTTCCGAGGCTTCGTTATCAAGATATCTAGATGACGCATTCCAAAGCTCAGTTCGAACGTCATCAGGATATGTTGATATAGTTCTGGGGCAACCCAATTATAAAAATGTGTCGGGCTAGGCCCACCACAGCCTGGGCACATGGGCTATTGGGCCCGCACACCAGGATTGGCCCATTTGGCCACCTTTGGTATACAACCTGGCCTAGATTCCTACAACCAAGCTTAGGGGTGCTAACGCAGTAATCAAGGAGCCTCAATTGTTTCTAAATGCTTCCAGGCCATGCAGGACGAGACGGAGCATGTTAATTTCTGCCACGAACGAAGGGAGGTTAACATAGCTAAGAATGCTCTTGCGTTTATCTCTGGCTCCTAGATTCGTTGGATTATGTAAAACTTTCTAATGAGAGATTTAATAAAGTCTGCATTTCCCTCAAAAAAAAACAACCATACGGAGCTAACGTAGGGGGAGGTGAGAGCGCTATATACGGTTAACACCTTAAACATTGTGGAATTAATAAAGCTTCGTGAGATTGGCTCAAAAAATATCTACGCTTAACACGTTAAACTTTGTGACGAATTAATAAAGCTTCGCGAGATTGGCTCAAAAAATATCTACGGTTAACATGTGTCAAATAGTTTTTTTTCAGGAGGGGCTATGTCTCGCTCACCGCGAGTGAGAGTTCTTGCTCAACACAAATTGGCATCAAATCGACATGCTACACTTGAAGTGAGGCGCAAACGGCTGACCAATAACGTGCCAACCTAAGGGCGTGTTCTAAAACTGCCTAGCTTCTTCAAAACTTCTTAGATTCACTATAATTTGCCAGGCAACACTAGCTAGTGGTTATTTTGGGTATATTCATTTTTCTTCGATTTTTTGCTGTTTTCTAATTTTCATAAATACTCCAAAATGAGTGTGTATTTTCAAAAATATTTAACATGGACTTAAAATGGTTAATGTATCTGAAAATTTTCAACGCATGTTTTAAAAATGTTCACAATATATTAAAAAAATTCCTCGTAAATAAAAAATGTTCACCGTGTACTTAAAAATATTAACTCTATTTATATTTAAAAATTTCTCCATGTAATAAAAAATGTTCATCGTGTTTAATAAAAATATAAATGTTTTTCATTTATTAAAAAATAAACTGCAATAAAACAAAAAAAGTAAGAAAGGACGGATGGAAAAAAACGAAAACTAACAAATGGGAAACAAAATGCACAACAAAAAATAAAAAATAAAGACTTCCGAATGACATCACAAAAGAAACAGCATGAAAAAATGAAACAAAAGCCACAATAGAAAGAAAAAAAACATTGCAGCAATGCAACTAATGAAATAGTAGGGGAAAACACAACATCGGACAACTTAAAAGAATCTTCAGCAGGTTAGCAAATGCAAAAGTGGGCCGAACCAATTTTCCTTGCATGCGGGCGTTGCCCTATCCGTTCGATGTGTGCGGGCATCAAATAGGATTTTCATCCCTCAAAAAACAAATTGTATTTGCCAATGCGAGCATCCGCTCCCTCTCCTCAAGTGACAAGCTATTGGGCCGGAGCAGTACTGCATTGCTTCATTTGATTGTTAGTTGCTTTCTCTAATTTTCCTTTTTGTTTCTTTTGTATTTTTTATATTTTGAAACTAAATATATTTTATTAGCTATTTTTTAAATATTCATCATGAATTTTAATAATGTTTATCCAGTGTAGGAAAAAAATTCACACAACTTTTAGAAAATGTTCATGAAGTCATATCAGGAGGGTTTTAATCCATTGTCTTTGCGGTAAGAACGTGATGCCTTGATATATATGTTTTGGATGATCCCCATACTTATGCAACAAATCCTCTTAATAGTACGGTTATGCTATGACTCCAAAAAAACCTTCAAGTCTTCGGAAGAATCGGCACCCATTTTATTTTGGAAGTGGGGGTCAACCAACTCCATATAAACTCATCGAGAGACCAATGTCCTGAGATAAACTTAAAAACCGACATTAGTCTCACTAACCACATTATCATCAACACCAAAATATCATTAGGGACTAAATGCACTTCCAATTTTGTATGTGGTTTGTTATTAAATCGATCTCATTTCAATATCAAACTCAATTCAAACACAACTTGCCCAACATAGTATTGAACCAACATGAACATGTAAACCACATTTGATCAAAGCTAAAGCATCATGCCATCTATTGCCAATCTCCACATAAAAACAATATATACTATAATCTATTTGTGTGTGGCTATTATACCAGAAACCACTATTGGGATATTTGTAAGATTGTGTGCTTTATATATATTTCTCAAGATATTTAAGGATATTAAAATATGCACCATAACGCACATACATACACTATAATTTGACACGAATTTTATATAATAATCGATGACACTATGAGATTTCATTCATTTCTATTTTTAGGGTTTAAGGGGTTCCAACATATATTTTAAGAGCTATTATTTGAAAACAGAAAAATTTGTGCATACATGATACAATTTACATTTAGTATGGTGTGTGTGGGGTGTATTCAATGGTAGATGTTAGAAATTCATATCAAAAAATGTTATTATTAATTATGGCTAAATAAAATATAATAGTTAACTTTATAGTTTCTATAATAAATCAAAGTAAGTATGAAAGTTTAGTACAAATTTTATATGTTTTAACTCGCTTCGAGCCTAATGTTTGGATTATCATTGTAGATATGATGCCATATATATCGATCTCATCCATCACAAACTTTCATACTGTGTAGTTTACAATGCAATGAAATGAACAAAATGTCTAGCTTTGGATGGTTTGCACTGCAATGAAAATTTGCCAATTGTACACCATTTGCCTATAGTAACCAATTCTGTATACAGAGGGGTTATCAAACCGGGAATATACCTCATATTGAGAAATTCAAATTCTTTTTACAACATATAGTCGTATCAGTGAGAAAGTTGAGGACATTGGTGTTAATGGGGTAATATGGCTATTTTTTCTTCAAAGCATCCAAGATGTCTTTGAATAAGAACATAATCACGTCTGCTGCAAATGTCTGCAATATCTCCTGATTTTAATTCTTTTCTGTGTAGCTCGGAAAATCACACACATCTTTGGTATATAACAATTCAGGATGGTCATACTAGCTTTGCATCATGTCTTGAGCAAGTTTTTCCATCTTCAAGTATTGAATGTTTCTTTCTTTAAGTCATTACATACAGTTTATCTAGAGGATTGGGGAGAACGGAGAATACTTCCATCTCTGGAAATGCTTCGGTTTCTTAGAAGGTTGAAGTTGAGCAACATGCAAAGAGTAAGAGAAATCTTGGTTCCATCATTGGAGGAGCTGGTTTAGATGGAATGCCAGATTTACGGAGGTGTTCCTCAACTTTTGTGGGGGAGATGAAGTCTAGTTTAAG